ATAAGAATGATATTCAACACATCAAATTATAATATCTACTCGTATGCAAATCATAGTTTTTTTTAATTAACATCCTATGATCTTTACAACTTGATATACTGCTGAAATTAAAAAGAACGGTTTCAACGTTAATAACGTTATTTTAATAACCTTTTCGTTTCGATATGTTTTCTTTTTTTATTACAACTATATTCTTTTTTTTTTTTTTATAAAGAAAGCAAAAAAAAAATTTACAAGGACACGTGATATATCACTTTCGAATAATCAATATTTAATAGAGAATTCATGAAATCTGTATTTTTAAATGATCATCAGAAGACAATCATCAAGAGTTAACATCATTTCTTATTGCATTACAATGTGTCTATCTAAAATACGATCCAGCTACCTTCTTTGACATTAAAAATGTACAAGAAGCAGGTATGTTACGATAGAAGATTAATGGTTCCATTAGAAAAAATAAAATGAAAAGTTAATTCTTTTTCGAGTGTCATTTTTCATCAAACAGCTCGATATCGGATATATTTTTCCTTCATTATATAAGTCGTTCGCATTTTTTTTAAATGAAATAATATTTAATTACAGTGATCTTGTTTCGATAAAAAAATTCTTTAAATCATTTTTTTCTTTCAATTAAAAAAAAAAAAGTGCCATTTAAAAAATTTCCTAATGAATATTTGTTATAATCGACATATACAATAATGAATAATACATGTATGTATTTAAGTCACATAAGCTCAAATTAATTTTTTAATAATCACATAATTCGATTAATTTAACTAATTATTTAATTTCTTACCATGATTAAATCTTCGAACTTGTTGATAAGATTTAAGATAATTAAAAAAGAATAGAGAGAAGATAATAAAATTAATAGTTTATCAAATTCTCTCTTTCTATCTATCAAAAATATCCACTAATATTTTTATCTCTATAATAATATAATAAAAATAGAGATGGTAGCTAGAAATTTTTCATTATCCTTTATCCACTATCCTTATTTATATTAATGAAATTTCCTCGTTCAAAAGTTTTTCATAAAATCCTACTAATTTACGAACCATGAAATTATGCTTAATATACTTAATATGCAACTCAAGTTTTATTCCTAAAAATCTCATTACCTCAATAACAAATACAACAAATCACAAGCAGAAACTATAATCGATAATTAATTACCTTTCTTCCATAAATTTAATAAAAAATCCTATTTTACAAATGCACAATACGCTCGTGCGATAATCCGATAAATTACGAAAAGCTCATTATATCTCGTTGATATAATTAACAAGCGGCGACCAGTTGGAATCTTTCAACCGCAGTAAATCTCTTAAAATAAATGCAAATTGACCAACATCGTGACACATCGATATACCCATACATTAACTTTTAAACCCATTTAAAACCCCATTAACTTTTTTGCAACAAGTCTCGTTAACGCCTCTCTCTCTCTCTTTCTCTCTCACTCACTCTCCTCTCCGTTTTCTCGCCTCGCCCATCCAAAGATATCGCGCCAATTTTCCACGAATCAATTACACATTGATTCTAAGCATGATCACGATTATCTATAGTGATTATGGATGTCATTAACAAGCTTGAAATTAATGATAAAATCAATTCAATCTCTCGCGGGATTAATAAAATGGGGGAAAAAAAAAAAATGCGACAATACAATATTGCAACAGGTAATAATAATAATATATTCTGATGCCAATGGCAGGTGTGCAGTGATAATGACAACTAATACAGGGCAGTGGTGGTAGTGGCACAGGTAATTAAGATAACGATGGGTGACAGTAATGATTATCGAGAATGCATACATACGTAAACTGGTATCAACTATTTTTGCTACTTGTTGCCATGCAGTCGTAAATATCATTTACTTGTTTCACGTTAGGGAGTTATGAACTTCTTACGATATATCGTATCACGTGAAATGTTGATTGGCTGCATCGTTATCCTTTCCCCCCAAGTCACAATGTTAGCTGGTATTGCAAGAATTCGAAAGTGTGTCAAATTCAATTCCCAATTAACTTCTTCTCCTTTTGTAAAATAAAAAATTGATCGTGTATGTAAAGTTTTTTTGTTCAAACAATGATTTCAAAAAAATGATCGTGATGAAAAAATGATCGTGCGTAATTTTAAATGATAATTTTTTTTTTTTTAATCAAATAAAGAATCAATCTGTTTTACATTTTAATTAAACCAGATTTATTAGAATGAATATTTTTCTTGTATATCCTTGGACTATAGTTTATATCGTGAATTAATTAATTCAGATAGGTGAGAAAATAATACGAGAAAAAAATAAAAAAAATAAATGATTCTTTATAAAAAAAAAAGTCATCATAAAGACAAATATTTATTAAATGTTGAATATTATACATGTTAATTTTATGGAGAGAAAAAACTTTCGAAATGTAATCTCACAAACTTCTGTAAATTTTTAGAACAATTATAAAAACAAGAGAACAACAAATTGTCTAATTAATTTCAGAGAATGAAAGATCGTATCGAGAATTTATTTTATTTTTTGTCACAATTGTCACATTTATCTCTTATGTAATCTTTATTCTCATTGAATTTTTTTAAACGTTCAAATTATAATTCCAATTGTAAGAATGAAAAGAAAGAAGGATCATTTCATGAATATGTACTACAGAACATTGCGCAATGTAATGGCGAAAGTTAACTTGGCCGTAGTTAATATGCGTTATACACGATAAAAATTAATTTGTTTCCCCTGGGAGCCCCATCCGGTTGAATAGAAATTGCTACTCGATCGATTGCTACAGATCTGCTCGATAAATTTTTTGCATTACCACGAATGAAATTTTACACGCGTCATTTCACACGATTGATTCATGCATATCATTTCGCTACTTTTACGTAACCAAATAATATATCGAATCGTTCTAAAGAATTTTAAAAAATTTTAGAAATTTTAAGGATTCAAGAATTTAGAAGCTTAAAATCTCGAACGTCAGAAATACTTGAAAATTTTAAGATTTTGATAATTTAACAATTTGAAACGATTTAAAAAAAATATAAGGATATTTTAAAGTATAAAATAATAAATAATCTAATAACTTAAGCATCGAAGTGATTTTGAAATTCAAAGATTCGAAGAAGATTTGAAAAATTAGAAATTATTTTACATTTTGCAATTAAATTTAATTTGTCATTTTAAATACTTTTATATCAGATACAATAAAATAATATTTATTACTTTCTTGATATACGATATATTAGACATAGATCAATTAATTAAGATTAAATTAATTTAAGTTAAGTTGATTTCATGTTATACAGATTTAAGATACACACAGGAATGTCTATACTGGAAAGTGGCCATTGAGCGAAAATAAAGAAATTAATGAAAGCTAAGTATTTATCAGTATGTATAACAACAAGAATTAAACGAAAGGCAAAAAGTTTAATGCAGAATGACTAATTCAATTCAATTCAAACGTATAATCAGATTTATGATTAATTTATAAATGTTGCAAATGTTATATCCTTGATGTCGATCTTGTATTCGAGCAGAATTAATAATGAGGAAGATAATTATCAATCACTTAGAGTAAATAATCATAATTTCAAACATTTCTAATGAAATAATTGCGAGAAGATTAATCAGTTAAGTAAATGTATCGTCTGACAGTTTTGTTTACTTTTGCTGTTAATTAATATTGACACGAGCAGATTCTCAATTATTTCAATTCTCAATTATAATTTTATAATATTAAAAAAAGATTACGCTTCAAAGGATTAAGTTATCAAAATCATTTTGATAGATTAAAATTTTGACAATAATAATTTTTATTATTTTCCATTCACAATAAATTTAATCAAGTTTAAAAGTATATTAAAAAGAAATATTTTTTATTTACTTTCTAAAAAATAAAATTAATTTTTTTCGTACATATTCCTTTCTTTCTTATACTAAAAAAAACGCATTTCTATCGTTTAAAAATAAATATTCTCTTGCAAAGAAATTTGACAGGATAATCATTCAGGAATTAAAAAATGAAAAGGAGGAAAAAAATGTAGATCAAAAAATTAATTACATCTCATTATCGTTCATGAAGAAATAAAATCATTACAAGTAGAATCAAGAAAAACTTGTTTATAAATTAAAGAAAATATTCGAAATTTTTTATTCAATTTAATGCTAAGAAACACAAGCTCAAGGAGAAAGATCAAGGAATATTATAAAATATCGATCAATTTAAACGCAATTAAATCTCATATTTTCAAATAATTTTCTAGTATTTTCATTATTTGATTTATGATCCAGAATTTAAATGATCGATCATCAAAATTCCGAGCGAAATAGCTTCATATCCACGTGTCAAGCGTTATCAGTATCTTATTCCCGATTAGCAAGAGTATCATAATTAACGAGCCTATGAACGAAAGATATTTAATTTGCATACAAGTTGCATCGAGGAATAACCAAACGATCGATTTCGCAATAAACCTACTATTTATAATTAATGTCTTCCTTTTATTCATGGAAATTTACGGGTGTGACAGGAAAATCCATCTTGCATAAATAGATATTTTACGAGGAAGTGAAAATTCATTGAAAATATATAAAGATTTCTATTTGCACATGTAACTATTATTTAAAATATCTTATATACGTAAATAAATTTCACGAGAAATGAAATATAGGCAAAAAAATTTTTCCTGACAGGTATTATTCTTTACTTTATTCCATAGTGATTGAAAATTACGTATTCAATATAAATTTAACTAAAATTGAAACCAATGATAGAAATTAATTTAAAATAAAGAAGATTGTAGAATGAAAATACCTAGGAAATGTATAGGAAAAATTCAATATGAAAGAATTATTAAGTGGATATTTTTGACTAAGTTAATAAAAGTTAATAATTATAAATATATAAATATATAATATTGACTAATTATAAATTATAATAAATTAATAAATTATTAATACATTTCAGAATAAAAAAAGAAACACATTATAATTGTACATTCGTAAAGAAAAAAGTAAGAAAAAAAGGTACTGATCATCATCATATTTTATGTAGAAAGAGACAAACAAAGAAAAACCGACATAAGATCTACCATTTCTTATTAAGAAAAGAAAAAAATTCTAAAAATAAATATAATAAAAACGAAACAATGTTGAATGAATAATGATCAAGAATTTAATTTATTGTTCATCCAACTTTATACAAAATTTCCTGTAATTAACCAGTCTCGTAGGTTTCGTATTGGTACACTATATATTAATCACACCTGCCTTCTGAAACTTTGATGTTCCACGGTCTGACGTCATATCCGGCAGAAGCCGAGCAGGCAGTGGCTGTGAACAGGAGCATTTGCATAATACGAGACATGCTACTTGCAGAAATGTTGCGAGCTACGTAAGTAAGGAACGATACCATGGAAAAGGTTACAAGACGTGTGGAAAAAGAAGAGTCGATAATTGTACGAGACATGATCATCGAAAAAAATATTTTGACATGATCTTGTTTCTTCGTTACACGAGTAAAATATAATGAACTTGTTCCTCGTTACACGTGTAAAATTATTGTCAAACGTGCGAGCGTTAAAAAAATTTATATAGCACGTGTCTTTTACACGATTAACCATTAATCCTTCGTTTCTTTCAATTTTTATCGCTTAAATTTTCAAATATTTAAATATAATTGGAAACTCTTTTGCTCCAAGATCTATCTTTATATTCAAACTATTATTTAAACATTCCAAATATCATTCAAATATTCTATCCAATATTTTATAAATGTTCCATTATCTAAACGTTTTGTTACTTAAATATTCTACTATTTAATTAAGAATCGATGTTTTATCATCCAAACATTATTCCTTTAAAAATAAACAATAACTTTCTGTCAAAATTTCCTATTAATCAAACAATATTATATTCTCTAATTAATCCATTATTCAATTCCTGTTTTATATTATAATTACAAACCTAGATTTGTAACTACTTTTTATTCCATCTTAAGTCATTTTTAAGAAAAAAAAAATTAACAAAAGTTTTTACCCCTTTCGTTACACGTTGAGCGAATTCTTCTGAAGAGCGTAGCAGACTTTTCATAGACGCCTCAGCCCCCAGAGTTCCCATGAACTCCTTCGAGACGTCGATGTAATTCAGTCGGAACCCCTTGACTGGCTCCATGTTGCGTACCGCGCATTGCACGTGCCGTAGCGAAGCCGACTGCAAATTGGCCTGACGGCGTAATTTGCATAGCTGCTGGTGCAGCGACGCGATGAGCCGCTCACTCGACACGCACGTATATGTACGCAGTCGGCGATAATTAGCGATAACTGTCATTGAAAGGAATTAATCGCGATAAAACCGGGAAAGTTCATGATTGATAAATTTATGGGTGATTAAGAGAGAAGAATTTAATATCAATGCGATTGTGGAAAACAGTTAATTTTTCTTCTATTGACACTTTATTGGAATTATATTTGTTATTATACAAATATTAGATTGTTGGCTAATTTGTTTTTCAAAACTATTCGGAAATAATATTGAATTTAAATTTAAATTATTGGATGAGCGTTTCTTTTGATCCTTGATGAAAGACATCCTTTGCTTTGTGGAACGCCGAATTTTTTGTTTCAAAGGAATATTAATGGGAACAAGAATTTTTTTTTAAATTATGTAAAAATTATGCAGGAATGATATTAATTTTTTTTTTTTTTTTTTTTTTGATTTGACTGTGCAGTAACACAAAGATGGATG